TATATATATATATATATATATATATATATATGCATATATTGGTGTTTACTCATTCTCTCCTGATGCTTGAAAGTGCATTTTTCCTTCGTCATCTATTCGGGATTTAAATTAACTACGTCATATTTTTATGGTTTTTATGTAAAAGAAAACGTTTTATTATATTTTGCTCATAAAAATAATCTCTCTATTCTAGTCTTAAAGTGCTTATGGCATTCTCTCTTTCAATTTTGACAAGTTTATTGCAATGGGACTATTTTTTAAGTGTGTTTTAATATTTAAAAACTTGAAAAGATAACATTGGGTGCCCATTAAAGCAATTCACTGCTCATCTTATCTTGTAAGATAATCATCAAACCGAACCTTTCAACACTCCCAGCAAAATAATATTCTAAGAGTCATGACTCCAGAACTGCAAACTCTCTACAATTTACACTCCTGATAGCAATCCATGCCTGGTAAGGATCACTTGACAACTTATTGAGCTACAAATTTCTTGTGGGCATGGTTACCGTCCTCCCTAAAATTTTCAAGTTAATGATAAAATCTGTGTGCTTATTGCCCAAGTCGCTTCTTAGTTAATAGCTTTTATTGAAGTGGGCAAGGTAAATATAAAAACTTATTTGACATTTTTTCGATTCTAGGGAAACATACTCAATGGCGGGGAAGTGTACATCTAATGACCGTCCCGATAACTGTTATCGACTGGCCATCAGCACTTGATGGACTCGAAATTTCATTTGTGTTATTTAATAATACTCTACTAGGGTTGGGGTGTACGATAGACTTACCTCCACGTGATGTACCCTGGGCAACGTATACTCATACGGCAAAAAGTCTATAAACTGGCTTGGAAACCGTATACTCATACGGCAAAAAGTCTATAAACTGGCAGTTGGCTTCTAACTCCAAACTACCATCGCCCCACTGTATGTCATATTTTACCACTTCCACAATAGCCACCTTACCTTTTCTCTGCCTTTGTGTCTGCATAATTGAATCACTTTTCTGTCACCCCTCTCAAATTTTTCTCACTTTGATGTTTCTTCCCTCTGTGAAGTCCGAAGTCAGCTAAAGGGCTAATGATAGGTGAATCGCTCTTCTTTCCTCCCTATCATTTCTTCGCACTTTAATGCTCCTACCTTCTGTGAAGCCCGAAGTCAGCTAAATGGCTAATGATAGCTGTCCTGTGAAGCCCGAAGTCAACTAAAGGGCTAATGATAACTACCAATCTCGACTTTTTGCCATTTTGATGTTCCTCCTCCTCTCTATGAAGTCTGACTCTTTTCACTTTGATGTTTCTTCCCTCTGTGAAGTCCGAAGTCAGCTAAAGGGCTAATGATAACTATCATAAAGCCTGCCATTTGAATTAAATACTCTACTAGGAGCCTTTATTGTAATTCTAGTTCCATTCGTTCCGTTCCAATTCTCAATACTTCCTCCCCCTCCACCACCTCCTTTCTTACCTTCTTTCTCAATTTACACCATTTTTCTACTACATATTTGCCCAACTCAAGGCACTGTCTTACCATTCTGGATAGGTTATTGTGGTCTATTGAACCTAAGATATGGAAATTTCTAAACCCATTTTGATCGTATTCCTTAAATTAGTTTTGCTGTCAAATTAGTGCAGACTATGAATGTAGATCATTTTTACCGTCCATGTGATATTACAGATGCTGTTATACTTTGGAATAAACATAAATAGCACATGGTTAAAAAGTGATAATCCTATTTATAGAAGGCGAATGACCCATTGAAAAGAAGGGAAGTGAGAGGATCACCTACGCGAACTGGGCAAAAGACGGTCAAACAGCTGTTTGTACAATGTATGTGCACACACACACACACACACACACACACACACACACACACTCTCACACATACATACACACACATACAAGCCTCCGCATTCACACCCGTCCATCTCTGATTGGTCAGTGTGGATGCACATTTTAATGTCGGAATTAGTGGTGTCTCTCTCACTCTCCCTCTCCCGCTGACTTCCCCTTCTGGTAGAATAACTGGGTCTCTGCATGTTTGCAGTACAGTAACATATGTAGGTGTGCATTTGGACCAATGATATTAGCTTAACAAAGAGGTGAAATTTTTTAAGACATGCAAATCTTTACTGTGTTTTTTTTCGGTTTTCAAATTATGCTTAATTATTATTACTACCGCGGGAGAATTCAGATCCGCATAGCAGACAAATTGGCATATAAAAGGCATATTTAGAACACCTATAAGCAGTTACTTAACAGTCAATATACAAATCATGAGAAAGTTGTATAGGAGGCAAACTCTATCAAATTCAATAACTCGGAAATTTGATATTAGCCTCAAAAAATTTCAAAAGTCCACCTCAGATTTTGTCTCTACCTGAGCACTTATACAACAACTTCATGTCTCTAAATGCTAGCTCATAATTGGCATAAGAAAACATTGGTTAATTTAAGAAAAAAAGCAACAAAAATGATGTAAACTACAAATCACGACTGACACAATATAATCGCATATTAATCACCTGGATAAAGTTGCCCTCTGCCAGATGTACACTTTCCACTTTTACTTAATTAAGGAGAATCATATAAGTGTAAACATTGTGCTTGTAAACATCGGGATCTATTTCCTTCAGACTACCTTAGGCATCAATTCCTGTTAAAAATCAAAGCATACTCTGGTATTTTTTCATGCTGACTAATGAAGCTGTGCTGTTTTATTCTCTAGGTTGTCTATTTTATCTATCAAAACGAATTAATAAACGCGAAATCAGTCCATTCCATTATTGTATCGTATTTGCCTTTGTTTATCCAAACAAGATCGCCATTAGATAGGAGCCGATGTCTGTAACCGTCTCCACTCCCAATTCTACTCTAACCCTCTTTCCTGCCTCTCGTTACTCTCTAAGTCGGTTCTATGAACCACTGCTCCTATTCAACTCTCAGCCGTCTGCTCTGCAATGAGTTTTTTTTCTAGTAGAGAAGTAGCTATATCCCGAATCTTCTATGTCTTGATCCAGCAAAGCCGCAAAGGCGGCTATTCTCTGAATACTGAAGCTACAAATGATCGGCTGAGTTTGCAAATTTTTCCTTTTTTTGCTTACCTACCTCTCTCTCTCCCGGAACTAATTTGGTTTGGAATTCCAACATCCGTAAAAAGAGGCAATAAACAATTTACAAATGTCAAAAGGCCCTGTCATTCGATGGCCGATTTGCCAATACTCCGAAAAAGTGCACAACAACCTTCTTCGGGAGAGAGAGAGAGAGAGAGAGAAAGAAACAGAAGTTAAAAATGACTCTCTTCCTCTCCCATAGAAGGTAGGTTAAGGTACTAAGATTGATTGCATTAGCAGGTGTCTAAAAGCTCGTTCTCATTTGTAGTTCTGTAAAGTGGATCTTTTTGTGGGCGTTAGAAGGTTGTTGCAGGAAAACCCCCACCTCCACATCTCGCTTTCTTCCCTCCAATACTCCTTCAGATATGTTGTCATAGCAGAAGTGCTAATTATGCCAGTGGACGCATATACCATAATTGGAATGTGTTAATTCAACAGCATTTTCTTAACCTATACCTAATTTAATTAGTAACTTCCCAATGCAATTGATTTGATGTCTTATTGCCTAATATAAATTACATCTTTTATAAAAAACAATATCCTTAACCAAAGAGCATCTAACGTTGTACAAATAAATTTGGAGCAAATTAGCCTCAGTTTTTTTTTATTTAAAGAGAATGACAAATTTAGTTTAAACAAAATAGTTAATTTTTTGTTCATGAAGTAGAAGAACTGGCAAGTATATGAGTGTTGGTGACCTTAGAGGAGACTTATTCAACTTTTTTGATTGGTCAAAATTTCTGGACTTTCTGGTAATCGATATCAAGAACTGTTTGGAGGTGATGTTTCTAAGACTTGTGTTGTAAAATAATAAAATTGTTATATATGGAAATTTTGTGTATATTCGGGCAATTTATGCAATAGGCAGTTATATTAAATGTTATTGAATGACATTTTTGATGAGTGAAAAAAAAGCATTTTAGTGAATTAAGCCAATTATGTCTTCAAGGGCGACAACTTTTAACATGCCTTTACTGACCGTCAGACGTGCATCTTTCGGTGGAGGGAGATAGCCCTGTCATTCAAGCTAATGAGATAATGTCCGAGCCAATCTGCCTTTCCACAAACAATCACTTCGTGTTGCCTCGACAAAATAGACATTTACATTTTACGAGGCTGCCAAAATATTGTTGCAAATAGTAGAAACAGTTGTAGCTTCATTTATAAATCCGATAATATGTGTGGAAACATGCGTAGGTAGTTCACAGTTCATCCAGACACTTGGGATACAAACTCCCTCATTGGTTGGTTGTGAACTAGTGGGCCAAGAGCAGAACCATACACTTATTAAATGATTTTTAGATAGTTAAGATATTCAAGATTCTCCCGTCAGTTAAACAATTTTTTACAGTTTAATACCTAAGCAAACATTTTCAATGAAAATTCATTAAATGGTGAAGTTTTGACAGCCTCAGCTAAAAAGGCAATTAGATTTACCGTTGTCATTCTAATGCATAAAATGGGCGTTGGTCAAACCAAATAATATTATTAAAATTGACCTACTTCTGCTTCAATTTCTTTGATAAAAGGCTTGTCCAAAACTGTTTAAGACTGCGTTTTCGAAGGTTAGCAGGGCTGTTAACGCTTGACCAGACCTTTCGTCCGCCCGGAAAACATCCAGATTGAGAAGAGAGGAGAGATTGGCAGGAAAAATTTGTTTCATTTTCGATTGTCCAATAAGACAGATCAAGAATTGTTCCAGAATTCAGGTGATCGCAGTTCAGTGGGAAGCCGTAGTCAACTAATATGAAAAAAAAACATACAAATAATACCAATTATCAGAAATAGCTGCTGAAATAATTGTGAAACTTACGGGAATGCTGCGAGTTTGGGGAGAGCAGGTCTTGATCCCCAGGGCCACCCAAATGCGTTGGAATTTTTAAATCTGGTTCTCTAGACCGGAAGATAAGACATGCGTTGGCACACGTAATAGAACCAGAAATTTTGCAAGCTTCCATCTGAAGTCGACTTGCAGATTCTAACCGTCTTGCAAATTCATCGTTAAAGTCAAACGAATCAGATTTTATGAGAGTGTCAGATGAGAGTAATTTAGAACCAAAGCCAAATGTTGTGCTTGTTTTCTTTGAAGACCTTTGAGGAAGTTCGGTTTTGGTGGAATCATTACGAAGAGGCCGAGGGGTATAGATAGGAATGCGAGGCGTACCTTGTGGGGTGCGCAACATGTGTGCAGGTAGAAGGGTAGCATCCAGATGCTGATTAAATGGAAGTTCTCCAAGCCATATTCCGCATAATTCAGCATTGAAGGAAAATTTATGGTTAAACTTTGGGCTATAATATACATCAATTGGCTTGAAAGAAAGATTTTCTGTCAGTGGAAACTGCAAAAAATCCATTGCATTTTAATACAAGGAAAATGTTTATAACAAGAAGAGTAAATGGTACTTATCAGTAATTTTACGCTTTGTTTAAGGGCGAACTTTACTTAGGCTTCAGGGGCGCGTTCAACTAAATATGCAACTGACCCTAAGAGTAGCTGCCGTGGTATATTAAAACGCATTACTACAAAAAGTATTGGATGCATTTGTTAGCTATAACTTTTAGTCAAATACATAATACTAAATATAAAATAACCATTATTTAAGGTAGTTATGCTATGAGATAAATCGTTCATTTAGTTTTAAAATGGAAGTAAATTCTAATTCTAAAATTTATAGTTCGCTGTTAGGCTAAGGGATAACTTATTCGTTAATCTTTATCTATTTTTTTCGTTCATATGTTAGAGCAAAATCTTTAGTCATAATGCCATTCACTTTTGCATGTGTTATATCAATTGCAAAACGTAACTAATGAAATATTGTACCAAATATTTATAGCATGGAAAATAAATGCATATGATTATAATCATATAATCATGGGAATATGCATTAAATAATCACATATCTGTACGCTATTTACTTATGCCCAGCACTTAAAGAATTTAAATTCTCATTCAGTTTGGCATTTGTTTCGTATTAGAATATGTATAAATTTCAACTATAGATTTTGGTTGGCAGGGTTATTAAATAAAATTTATATATTATTGAGATATGAAAAATGTAGTTGATTAAAAACGGAGGTGAAAATGTATTTAAAAGTATTATTTTGCTAAAATAAACACATTAATATCTCATTATTTCTGTAACAAATGCTATAGGAATGTTTGAGCTATTAAAACCTAAATCGCTATGAAAATGTTCATCTATATTAAAATTGCATTCGAAAATTTATCCATTTCTCTTGCGAGGTATTCCCTTAACCTATCTCAGCACTAACTCCATAGACTATGAACCGTTTACTCATTTTTGGTTGATTGTTCTTTCGTGATTGCTTCAGCAGCTCAGACATCGTAACTTATGAATCTTTGAATGATTTCGATTGTTATTTACTTAACCCTATATCGTTAGACGTAAGGGACCACAAATTTGAAATAAAAGGTTCACATCACTCGAGCTTATGAAGTAATGTCACATATATGAAAGTAATTTACTGATGTCGTCCAAAATTCTAAATAACAGATGAGATGATGAGCAAATATTTAATTATTTCACAACCCTCACACTTTAAACTGCAATCCCAAACATTCTGGAGAGTGTGGCCATGCGTGCAGAGGGCCTCTCCTGTAGTCATCTACTAATGTTTATTCAAATTCTCCAAGAAGCATGTGAAAACTAATCATGTTTGTTGATCTCGCAATATCAACAAAAGCTTCACATATGTATTCCTCCTCCATAGCATTGCGATAGTTCAATTTCATGAGGCTTTCCAGATAGGAGAACTTGTCGTAGAGATTACTATTAATAAGTCAGGACTTACTAGCGGTGCGATAAGCTACAAGTAAAACAAATGCTGTTTTAAAAGAATTTTCTGTCCCAGCTAATGATTATGCAACTTATTTTTCAACCTAACACACTTTGTCAATTTAAAGAATTTATTAGAAAAATTCCACTTAATGGATGGCCATATTATATATATGTAAAATATACCTCGCTTGAGGTATATGTGATTCCTTTGGCGTTCAATTGTATTTTTGAAGTGAATTAATTCCGACTGCATTATCTTAAATCAGTGTCAATATAAAAGTAATGTGAATCAGTTAGAATCTCTTCCAATTATTGAATTTAGCAACATTATGTTAAGCATTTTAGAAGGTTTGATGCTAAGGTTTTTATTTAATATTATGGACAGCGTGGCTCTATTCGATCGCTTATAGTTCCTCCAAAAGGACTAGTACTTCTTGCAAGTGCAATAAAGAAATTCATTGGATAGTTTATAGCGTTGAATTTGAAATGAGTTTGCTACTATAATATTATCAACAACTGAAAGAAATAACTTTCTGTTTCTCTATTCAAGACCTTTTGTCTACGTAAACTTTCGTCAGTAAATCTTTAATTCTGAATTCAATATCAGGTAAGCCCGAACATTTGTGCATCCTTGTAAAATAAATTATACTAATGTGATAGAAAATGATTAAAAAATGTAATAAAAAAGTTAATTTTGGATTTCTATAATAAAGGGTGCTCTCTGTTAATATTTTCATATTCATGAATGTCAAATCAAAGCGGATTTTTAATGATTTCAAAGGTTTTTGGGTAGTGATTGTTAGTAAACCACACATAAATTAAAATAGAATATTTAAAATCTACCAAAAACTACTACGTATATTTCTTTCACAAGGTTGCCTTTGTAAAGGGGATTTTTAATTGCAGAACTTTTTGTATGCGCTAATTCGGCCTCAATTTAACCCGCCGTCCTTGGTTTTATTGGACCTTGTTGAAGGTTTTCGATGCTGACTTATTTTTCGGAATAGATTGTGGGACTTTTTAACCGAGCAATATAGGAAAACAACCTAAAGTAAATGAAGATTTTCATCTTACATCTATGTATTTATTCTTTCTTATTTGGAGTTATCGTGGTTTTTTTATTTTATTATATTTGAGGTATTATTTGCTTTCATAAAATCATGTAGACGCTTATTATTCTTGACTATTCCGTAAATTTTAGATTTTTTGTGTATTGGTTCAATCAAATGTTAATTGAAATTGGTGTTGAAATTATTTTTCATTTTTTTTGGTTTAGTGAGAGCATGGAGAACGGAGTAACCGAGTTACATCTCGTTTCCCTTCCAAAAGATGTCAAATCCCTTCGGATCGTGGAGCCTTCCTATCCGTCTAGGAACGGAAAGTCTACTCGAACTCCAAGTCCAACGAAAAAGTGTCAAGAACTGATGTATATTGACGACGGGACCTCATCTAACTCCTCGGCAACATCAACAAAGGAGAGAGAAAAACAGCGCCATTTAAGTGGTTGTGAAAGTGATAAATCCACTTCCCGACCAGTTACTGGCATTCTCCGTGTATGCACAAGTGACCCCCATGTATCTTCTCCTTCTGCTCCATCTCCTTCCCCACTTCCACCTCCGCCACCACCACTACAATCAACTTCTACTTCTCCCCCTCTATCGTCTCCTCTTCCACCACCTACCCCCTCTTGTCATGATTTGGCGGAACTCACACCTGCGCCTTCTAGACGCCTGCCCACTGTGGTTGTTCTTGGTTACCAGCGAGCTGTTGTCGAGTCGCAGGCTGCAGCTGAGCGAATGCATCAACAGCAAAAGCAGCAGCAAACCAAACAGCATAAACCTACTGGTTCTTCTCATCCCTTGGATTGTCCTCTTACTCTGAGTATTGCATCTAGTGGACTTATTGACCATGGATTACCTACTTCGCCACATGGTCGTAATAATAGGGTAACTGAATCTCTTCTTCTTGAATTGAAAGTTTTTTTGATTATTTATTTGTACAACTATTGACTTCCCACGTTTGATTATTTGGCAGAAAGTTTCTTGATTGACTACCTATTATTTGGCTCAAATTCTAGTGTTCACAGGATGTTTACAATGTTGTTACTTTTTTATTTAGCTATTTTAAAAATGCCTTTATTTTAAGCACTAGTTTTCTTAATGAATCCCATATTGTATTTTAATAAGCTTTAGTTTCTCCCAAATTCACTTAATTATAACTTGTTAGTTGATAAAATGAGGTCAGTGTGCATGCCTGTCATGGATTCGAACCATACTGGTTAATATAGAAGTAGCAGATTCGCGGGTTTCTCGTTAAGGTTTTCATTTCTTCTTTAATTAGAAAATTTTATTGATCCACATTAAGTTTTTTAGAAATACTTTTTGTCGATTATTTCAATGGAAACGGAGCCATTCAAGAGAGTTTACAAAAGGGCAGTCTTCTAGTTATGTTTATTTCCTTAATTGCCTTCATTTCTTTTCGTCTAATTAACTTTATTTGGTCTGGGTCAAGTATTAATAAAGAGGATGGGGTTCTAAGAGAAAACTGGGACGTCTATTTCAGTATAGCTCTTTCGCTTAAAGACTAACTCTTGACTGACTTCGGAATTCTTATTCGAGTTGATGGAGAGATTTATTGAGAGATTAAGGTAGCTTTGAAATAAATTTGCTAGGATTGTGATTGCGGCAGTTGATTTACATCGGCACACCGAAATGAAAACAAGATGTGCATATTTAAATTGAAATGACTTTGTATGATTTGACCGTCTATGACATGAAAGCAGCCGGCAACTGAAGTTTGCCAAATTTGAGATGACAGGTTTGGATCCCACCGTGCTGCTTGTTTCTATCCTTATGAGGGATTGTAGCCTCTGAGCTTCACATAAGAGCAGCTTAAAGATACCCTTCATTTAACTTAGTCAATTGCCATTAAAGCATGCAGTACAGTTTTTTTGGCTTAAAGACTATTTAAGCAGTCTTACAGAAATCATGGTGTTTAGAAAAGAAGGCGGGGGAGGGGGGTTGCTTTAACGGAAAGGAGGGGCCTGTTCATAGTGCTCTTACTCACGAGAGGCATCGACCTGGGATATCAATCATATCCCCACATGGCTTGGAAGTATCTGCAGAATCAATTATTAATTCTTAACCTTTCCCTTTACATATTTGGTTGGTCCATTTAATTGTACGCAGTCTCTTTTCCTCTAGGATATTGGGTCTTGGATAAGTGGAAAGAAATTTTAGACCATTTCGCGGTGTAATTAAATCACCATGGTACATATGGGTTGTTAAGATTGGTAGTTTTTTTTGTCAGTTGAGATACGGGGATCAGTGATATGCTTTTTTACGATTACTCTAAAATCAATGTCGCTCTGTGCTATATAAAATGAATTAAGAATAAACGTTTTTAAGAAATTTGTTATCTGATGAATACGACTTTCAGAATTGTATGCTATAGTTTATAACCCGAATATAGATGTCACCAAAGGGGTAGGGGGTCATGTTGCAAATGTCAGAAGACGTGAATGGTGATCACGGAGTTTCGTGTTCCTTTTCAACCAATTTGCATATCCTTACACTCAGTTTACATTCTTGATAGGGTCTGTTAATAAAGTGATTTCATAGGAAGTTCATCTTTTAAATTTGCTTTTGAGGAAAGCATTGCCTATAAAGTAGACAGCTAAGTGGCTTAGAGCAAGAATGAATGTTTTATTTGTATAAACTGGACTCGTTGCGAACAATGTTCAGAGGCGGTTTCTTTGACAACTTTGTATTTTGCATTTAATATCGTCTATATTCTGTGGTTGTTGTGATATCTATCCTTTATTCTGACTTTTTCAAGTTATGTTTGCTAAGTAAGCCCCAAAACTTATCTATTTTGGCCAGAGATGTGACCTCCTAGAATCGGTCTTTGAATCTTACCGTTTATTGTTCCTCTATTGATTAGTTTTCGACAACATCCTATTACTGGGTATTTGCCAACAGCTATGCTCGAATTAATAATCACAGTTTTAGCAAATTTATGCTTTGACCACTTCTGCCCCGATGCTTATTTTGCAAAAGTATTATTTGATTGTGGTGGGGGGGGGGGGGGGGGTTGAAGGAGGCTGTTAGGGGCAGGTAGAAAAGAAAAGTTCAAATTTTTGTCTGATGTTTTTAGTGCTATACCACAGTGATGACTTTAGGCTGCATACCTGTTTGGTCATTAGTGATGTATTGTTGACAGGTGACATTGGAATTTTTTTCAAAATTTTTACTTAACTTGAAAGCGAAATAACTAAATCCAGTGCATAACAATGGAATATCGAGTTGATAATACCATGTGATTTACTATTTTCCATGAAGCATCTAAACGAGTGAACGGGTGAATGTTAGCATAAAGAGGACGCTAAGTGGGCCTAATTTAGTCCGAACTCAGAGCCCTTCTGTTTGCTTGTTCGACGCAACACATGTTTCAAAATCAAACTTCAAACTACTCCTAAGGAGTTGTTCTTCTCCTCACTGTTCACCCCTGGGTTAATCAATTCCGAATAGGAGATTCGCCATGCCTTGTCGCTAATTTCTTCGCCGTGGAAAGCTCACCATCCAACATCTTAAGATCACCATTTTCTTAAAATACCTTAGAAACTAATTAAGTAGACAAATTGCAAGTCATTCTAAACGCAATTTCAATCCATACTGGCTTATTAATAGTGTTTGTTTTATAGATGTTTATTGCTATAACTATGTTGTAAAGAGTGTTAATATATTGCCTGCTTCTCATCAGAAATTCTCTGTTTTATTAACCCTATTTTAGGTGAAATGTTCGGATGGTCTTCCATGCTTCACGCAATCTCCCCCTCCTCCACAATCTTCTCCAACCTCAGATGATATCAACATCTCACCAATCAGCATTTCTCCCACATATTCCTCGAAAACCCACTCATCGCCCTCATCACCAATCACAATGCAAGAAGCTTCGTCACAGGACCAATCAGCATCTCCCTTTACCTCGCCACCAGACTCATCATCTCCCTTGGGCAGTTCACCCCCAGATGTAGCTACCCTATTGCCCCGACATGTAGCTGAAGATGCTGAGTCGATTGCTGAGTCTGTCTACCATCAACCCCCCAAAGCCGCTGATCGTAGCGCAGCCTATAGACTGGCTAGACGTCTTTTCACACTAGACGGGTTCAAGATTACGGATGTGGCCAAGCACTTGTGCAAACGGTGAGTGGGCATTCGTTTTCTCCTTATAGCAAACCAGACGATGAAATTACTTGCAGGCGCACCAGTTCTCCAAGTGTGCCTGTGTTTGATGACTCATCAAGCTTGCGTTTGCATCCTTGGTACGCGCGTAGAAGCAGCCATACACGGACGCACGTATGTTCGGGGTCGCGTCATCGCTTTCTCGCAGTGGTATACTTTCCCACTTGCTTACTCTTGTGACGTCTTGGCTTGTTGAGACAATGCGTACTTCTGATTAGGCCATTTCAGCTTCCCTTTGCTTTTGAGGATTTAGCTACAATTGTTTCGGACAATGTGTGCTAGCGTCTTGAATTCAAGATGAAGTTGGCCTTGAACACGTTTCATACTTTTATACTACCAATCAAATGAATTCAGTAATATTTTTGTCATCATCTTTTGCAACCAAAAAGTTACGGTGCTGTTTCCATGATAATGTATACGAGGTCGTCTTTTGTGGTTTTCTTTGTCTCTGATTAATTGCTAAAGATGGAGTTATTTTCAGGTTTCTAATAAGTCGTTATGCAATCATTTAATTTTAAAATTTCTCTTATATCAGATGAGGAGTGTTTCCAATGCTTTCTTGGTGTAAAGTTACCAGGGTTGAGGTCTATGTGATGATATAGATTCTTGTTTGTATTCAATTTGGCTGTTAGACGTTCGTTTTTCGTGACCATCGTCTGTATTTTTGGTGTTTGTTGACAATTAATTGAAGTTTTTTTTTTTCTAGTTCGCTCACTGCTTCAGGCTATTTTTAGTCTGTTTGAACTTAGCGGGAAATATGCAAATCGGCTTAGTGCTTGTCGTCAACAGCATTGAAATTTGCATTCAGAGTCTTTTTACCTGATACAACTCTCTGACTTTAAGAATGACTTGATTGCGTTTGCCAAAGCTTTCGTATTTCGCAAGAAATTAAATCAGCTGTAGTAAACACCCTGTGTGTTTAAAGTGAATTCACAATTCGTCTAATTCTTCTGACTTCACAACTCCTCTTCCCTTTGAATAGGCTCACCATTTTATCTAATTGTTTTGAGTATCTCTCCCAAATGACCCAACCTTAGATCACAGCTCTAATTAATGAGATATGCGCATGCATGTATTGGATAAAAACCGCAAATTAAGTTATACAACCCCCCCCCCCCTCCCTCCCCCAAACAAAACATTGCTATCTAACGCAGCGGGTCTTTCTGAGGCGGGAAGAAATGTACGTCTCTAGCGTATCTTTCCATTTTCTTCAACTCATTGTTGCTGTTTTTTGGCCTGTTATTTCCCCCAATGGATCCGCTATGTCTGCCAATTTTTGGCCCTAATAATACATTCACATGCTAAGAGCTATGGGAATTAAGGACTCAATAGCATCTAACTCATGAATTACATTCAGGTGGTGGTATTTTACGAAATGGAACTATTTTTTACAATATCTGGCACTATGACTGTCGAATTTTATGAATCCCTGATTACATCACATGTGTTTGACTATTCAGATAGTGGAAAATAGGGATGATTTCATTTCGTGCGATATCATCGTTATCCTTTTTTCAAGTTATTGACTTCCTACTGGACAGAAGTTGCTGCCAATCGGTTGACCAATTGGGATCCACTTCTATGACTAATCTTTTTAAGTCCTTCCTTCACTCGAGGTTGAGGTTATTTTTTAGGGGATTTATGTTCCAACTTTTGTCTTATTTTTTTCTCCAAACACCTGTTTTGTTACCCCCCCCCCCCACCACCACCGTTTTTTTGCCACCCACATCAACATGATAAAATTAATCAGTTTATCCAAACGCCTAACGTTTTTTTTTGCCTCACCACCGCAACGATCCTCTGTTGTCTGTTTTCTCTCTCACATTAATCCCTCTCCAATTTCAATTGTCTTATATCATGCTACTACCTCTAAGATTCCCTTGAGGCTACTGTGATTTCTTGAGAAGCGATCCTTGCCATTTCTATCGCCTTCCGTGCCCAACGATTCTATTCATTGTATTCACCCATCCAATTACGTAGGAAGAAGTCGCTTGGTTATCTGTAAACCAAGCGAAGTCACCTATTCATTCATAGGGTGTTTATTCGCGAGTGGTTTGAAAGCATTGAATTTACTAATTTATTAAGCTGCAGTAATATAAAGTACAAGCATATGAGAGAACATTAATTATAAAAATAAATCTATTTCCCAATGAGCGAATTTCATCCAGGCCATTCTCAGGAGTTCTACTCGCATCGTAAAAAAATATTCCCCCTATAATTAGAACTGGGATTAGCTTAAAATCTCTAGTCCTATTTTAATCAATTTATTTCTTTCAAATGGCAGGCTTTATGATAGTTATCATTAGCCCTTTAATTGACTTCAGGCTTCGCAGAGAGGAGGGGGAGCGTCAAAGTGACAAAAAGTCGAGAGGGGGGGGGGACAGGATAATGTTTCACAGATATAAAGGAGACAGATAGAGACAAAGACGGAGAAAAGGTAAGATGAGTACTGTGAAGGGGTCGAATATGACATACAATCGGGTTATAGAAGTATGAAGTCAAAAGTCAACTTTCTAGCTTATAGACTTTTTTGACGCTTAAGTATACGCTGCCCACGTGTAGGTAAGTCTATCGCACACTCCATTTTAGTCAAAGTAACATTTCTATCTTAAAATGTTTGCGCTTGTTTTTCAATTGTCCAATAGATGGAAAGCTAGCTATTTTTCCATCGTGTTCCCTCAGCTAGAGTTCTTGTTTATTTCTCCTGCCCCTTTTCCCCTCCCCCTCTCCCCCCCCCCCTCCTCCTCATCATGCTTTTATAACGGTGCAATTTTGACAGTTTTGTTTTTTTCTCATCTGTCCTCTGGATTTTTTGCTTTCCCTTTAGTCAATTTCCCGCCAATGTTGCTTGTAAAGGAGTGCAAAGTGTAGGCCAGTGACTATTTGGCAACATAATCTGATTACTGGCGGGCCAACTCATGGTTCACAAATCACTACCCTCGATACCTTGCCTAAAATGTCAACAAAAAATCGCGCGCCCTTCCCCCCTCCCCCCTTCCCGCCCCCTCTTTCTCTCCTCTCCCTTCCTTTGATTAGATGAAGCTTCAAATTTTCATTTACTATATGCATATGCGTTTCTTGTTTATCAAGCGTCTTTGCGCCTGAATGACGTTATCGCTGCAACTAGGTCGTGATTCTTTATTTTTTCCCCAAATCAAATTATTTGTTTTTTTTTTTATCGGTCATATCGATGCCCAAGGCTTTCGCAAATTTTAGTCAGGAACCTGGTTGCACTACCTGCGGGGGGGGGGGGGGGGGGA